ACCCAAACTCTGTTTCTAATTAATTTGTTGTAGATTCGCAGAGAGCTCTGATAGAATCATTTTGAGCTACGATGTGGTTGACCCATTAACACAGTACAAGGAATTTTTTTTTTTCAGTTAGAATCTAGGTTACCTTACGTCAGTAAGTTGTTCCACGGTTTAAAGTCCACAAAGATTGTTTAGGCTTTTTTTTCAGAAGAGAGACAAAACAAAAAACAAACAAAACAAAAGCAACAACGGTTTTATTCATTCAACAGTTGTACCTGCATTATGTATTCCTTGTGGCTTTTAAAAAACATACAGAATATGAATTTTTACGAAGTATTTCTCGAGCACACGAAAAGGATACTACAGATTAAAGCACTGCAATTTCTTTTTAAACTCAATTTTTAGCTTAGTACATCTGAACAGCTGGCTGACGCTTTCCAGCCACTAGACTATGTTCTATCAAAGAAAAACATAATGTACGCCAGCATGTGTCGTCTTTTGAATAACTAAACTGTATTAACATAGGTAAAGGGGTTTGGAATTCATCCATCAATGACCACATTACTGTTGTGTGGTCAGGGTTGTTGCACCGAGTTCGACAGATACATTCAATCCCCAGTTACTTGTTATCGGGGTTTTCAAAAAGAATTTTTACGGGTGGAGAGACCGTAAAAATTGAAGGGGTTTGGACTTCAAGATAAAAATATTTCTCATTCTGCTGTCATCAGCCAGAAAAGTCGGGGCACTTTTGGTTTTCTTTTTGTTTGCTGCGTTTTGTAGTTGTAGTTGTTGTTTTGGACATTTTTGTTTGTTTGTTTATGGCTTTTAGGGGAGGGGGCAGTTAAGCTGATGAAATAAACTAACCCTTTTAGAATAATACGACTAAGAACTACACCCCTCGCTTCCACCTGTATTTCAGGAGCAATTGCGAGAACTGGAGGCGGCGTTCGCCAAGTCCCACTACCCAGACATCTACTGCCGGGAGGAGCTGGCCAGAATAACCAAACTCAACGAGGCCAGGATACAGGTAGGACTAACACGTAGTACAACTAACTCTGCCACATGATGGGACACTCCAATCTAATTTTGTGGATACAAGCAAAGAGAATAAACTTTTGGCAAGCTGCTAATTAAACCGTATAAAACCCAGAAAGCAAAATTTTATAAGAGAGAGAGAGAGAGAGAGAGAGAGAGAGAGAGAGAGAGAGAGAGAGAGAGAGAGAGACAGACAG